TAAAGTGCAATAAAATTTATTATTCCATCTTATCTATCATTTATTTGAATGTGTTGGCTGTTTGGGAATTTCTTTGTGTCTTTAGAATGTATTTCGAATAGTAATTAACTGTTTAGCTACTTATCAAATAATGGCTAACAAATATCATTAGCTTATGGAATTTAAAATTAAAACTTTTCATTGCATCATAATTATGCGGCATTCCCGCTGTCAAAAATGTCATAGGTGCCGACAAATAAATTGCGCAACTGAAACGACAAATTTTAATTGATACTGCGTCAAGTCTTATCTTATAGTCTAGTGGCAAATTACGTACTCAGGTTGTACAAATATAAAAGTGAATATAGCCGATAAGATAACAGCAACTGATCATATGCCTAGTTTGCTCATATGACGTGCTTCTCTGCTGGTCTACGTGCTTTTCTCCCAGTGTGCAATACCATAAAGCGCCATTGCATCGTGACTTTGACCTGAAGCTGTCTGTCGACAATACAGCTGTTTTCCAGAATGTACTCAAGTGGCAATCAGAACGCTTCAGTTTGTCGGCGTATCTCAAGTGGTTGGATTAAAATGGGAACCGCTTTTTTATCGCCACAGATTGTAGCAGCCGCTTTTCACTTTCGTTGGATAATGGCCTGTCATAGATCACAGTATTCTTCTTCTTTTATTTTTTCATCTTTCTATCTCATTTGAATTTTGATTGATGTAACGGCAAATTCACATCGCATTGTAAGCAAACACAGTGAAACTCGTTTGTTAGTTCACACAGCGTGAAACACGCCCATGGGACACAGAGCTCGATGCCTCGGCTGATGCTGCTTGCCCATAATCTGCTGTCCGTCCGTCTGTCTATCTGTTGCTGCCTAGCAAAATGCCAAGCTATTCATAAGCCGAAAAACCAATATAAAAAACCTGAGACGGAATTCATAGTCAACGAAACATTCATTCTCTGTCAAATAACTCAGAAGAACTGCAGCCATTATATTATTCTTCGAGTGTAAAATGAATGTTAACGGCATTTATAATGTTGTATAAGAATGCAGTTCGTTCGATATGCAATATAGACACAAATCTATAGTATAGATATATAGACTGGTGTAATTACTACACTATTATTAGAGTATGCAATGCAATGAACTGCAGTTTTTTATGTATACAATCTTAATATCAATTTTGACCTAATCCAATTAATCTTATGAGAACTTAAGGAACTGTAATAATACCGTTTAAAGAAAAACAAGTTTATAAACAACAGCTTGTTGCAAGCTGCATATGCAAACAACGACACACTCAGCTAGTGTATAGACGAGATAATAGAATGCTGTCATTTCAATTCCCAATTGCCGTTAGAGTTTTGTTGGGAACTCAACTGGGTATTCAAACGTGTGCTGCACTTGCGGCGCCAGTTCTGATCTGAGATATTTTTCTGGCAGCTGTTCAAGTTGAGGCAGTGAGAGGGAAACAGAGAACGAGAGATAGAGAACGAGCCGGGGGGTGAGGCCCAGTCTCACCACAGAACAAGCAGTAATATTCTATGTATAAATACGAGTACTTTTAGACGACAAAAAAATAAATAAATAGAAAGGAAAAGATGTGTCGCCCATGTGGCGTATACGCAACGGCTGCCAACTAATCATTTATTTTGGCCAGAATTGATGTCGGGGGATGGGAGAGAAACTGCGCTCTGCTGCGCTGCCTACCTTCGTCCCACGGATGATGTTGGGAGGATGTGTTTTGCGATTTGCGTCCTTTTTTGCCGCGTTTGCCGCTGTTGTTGCTGTTGTTGTTGGACTCCATTTGTTGGCCGACTGAACTTTACTTGAGCTACAAAATACACGCGCGCAAATGAAATTATTTTATATAATTTATCTATGTTTTATGTTCACACACACACACACACATACACACACACAAACACAATGACGCACAGTGGCCACAAGTGATATTTTGCAAACTCACACACAGAAATACACACAAATCTATGCATATATCTATCCACACACACCCGCACAGTCGCCTTGTTTTTTGTCGCTTTGATTACTTGGCGCAGATATACACTAAATATCTATACAGAATATACCGTTATATATATATATACTATATACATTTGTATATACTATATATATATTTGAAATTAAGATTTTCTCAAGTTATTTTTAATGTGGTGATTTAATTTTTTTGACACCAACACACACGCACACGCAAATAAACACTTGTGGCACTTTTTTTTACTTTCGTTTCGTTTCAATAGGGTTTTTTTACCAAAAAAATAATACTTTTCTATATATACATTTATGTTTCATGCGCTTGAATTATAATGTTAAGTTGTAGTTAATTTGCATTACGTGACAGCGCGTATTTTGTTGTTAAACGCTTTCCAGTTGGTAACTAACTTTTTGCCGTTGGATTTAATCAGGCAACTGCTGCCGATGTCAGCTGCTGCTGCTGCTGCTGCTGCTGCCGCTGCTCGTCAACTGTTTTGGCAGTTGGAAACTGGCCGGCGCTGTGTCGTTTTTGTTTAGGGTTCGTTTATTATTATTTTTTTGTTGTTGTGTGCGCGTGTGTAGTAGTAAAGTATTTAAAACTCAAATGAGTTTGAAAACAGAATGAAAATCGCGCACGGAAATCCGCCGCGTCCATGCGTCGTTGTCGTCGTCGTCGTCGATTGTCGTCGATCGTTTGCCGTGCCGAGCGCGACTAATGGGCCAAATACTAGCTGACTGAGCTGACTGAATGGCGGCGACATTATCCGACCGACGAGCTGGCCAGAGAGCTTTTACTTTTTGGACTGTCACCACTACTGCGCTGGGTCACACGCTCGTTTTGATATTTTTCTGATTTTTTTTTTGTTGGTTTTGGTTTTTTTTTTTCATTTAATTTCGCTCGCATCACCATGTAATTGCCTTTTATTTTTATGCCTTGTCCGGGTCCGAGTCGGTCGCATCCGAGTCCAAGTCGTGTGCGCATTTTGCTATTTTATTTTCGTTTTTATTTTTTTGGAAAAGACCACGAATGCATTTGCGTTATCATATTCAATTTGAGATAGTATATTCATCCGTTGGTTGGCTGCCAAAATCAAAATAAATGACGAATTAAAGCAATCGTAAAAGTTGTGGCGAATTTCAAGTTAAGTGGCTGCGCAGTTTCCACCCCACATTCAAATATGGCAACATAAAACAAAAGTTCATCACAAGTTTTTTACGCTGATGATGCGACTCTCAACAAGTTCATGTCTGAACATTGCTTGTTTTGCATGTTATGCGAGTTGTGTTTAGGGCTGGGGGACAACAAAGTTCAATTGTCGGGCTGCTGCTGCTGCTGCTGCTGCTACTGCATCATCAGTCGCCCTTTTGTGTGCTGCTGAAGTGGCAGAGAGGCCAAGTTGCTGCTACTGCTGCTGTTGCTGCTCATCAAGTTCATTCCACTTGGCATTAAGCAGCGCGAACTAAACATCTCAAGAATGCAGCGACTGCAGCGGCACTGACAGTGAGATGTAATCTGTTTATAGCAAGTCGGCATTTAAATGGTCTGCATTAGTGCCTACATATATATACATTGTCGTAGTAGCTGCCCAATTAAATGACGTGCTTAACTCTAATTAAGCATACCACAGTCATATCAATCATACGACCCATCGCACAAGCGAACTTTTGGCTTATATTTAACATTTTGGCAAACATCAAAAATAGGAAAAAGCACTTAATCTAACATAAAGCATAAAGCTAACTATGTATATCTATCTATTATTAATCGAACTGTGGGGTCGTACATTAAATTATGACCTTTGATGAGTTGCGTGTGCGATGGGCTGTGGGATGTGGGCTGTTGGGCTGTGGTGGTATAAGTGCTCAGAACGTAATTACAGCGCTATGGCAACACATACAAAAGCTTGTGCTACCAACTAAAACAACAATAACAACAACAACAACAACAACAAAATGGTCAACAGCAAACTGGATAACAATAGCTTCCGTTGCAGGAACGTGACACAAAAGTAACAACACCAACAACAACATTCAGTTGTTTGGGATACCTACAATAGCAAACTGCGTCCTCAATGAGCAGCGCACACAAGTAGAGTTGATTGACAGGATAGAGACGAACCGAGAGGTGTTAAAGAACGAATGCCCCGCAGGACGACGAGGGCAGAGAGCGAGGAGGGGCTCGTTAATCGAACGGCGGCACACGTGTCTTGATGGAAACTTGTTCATTACTTTCCATTACACTGCTTACAACATTTAGACATTTTATCGATTTGCCTGCCGAATTATACAGAAAATGGTTTATGCATATTTCATTTGCTGCTCACTTATTGATTGTAGAGTAATCCAAGCCGTTGCACAGCTGCGACCGCGATTAATTTGCATCAGCATTTATACACACAGCAGAACAAATATATATTTTTGCAAAGGCTTTCAGTGGTGAGCAGATGGCAATTATGAATCCTTTGCACTCGAGCACACCAAGGACACGGTCCGCGGGTAACGCGCTACGCGACTAGCGTCAACAACAGGACTGATTTGATGGGTCTGTCTGGCGTTTTTAATTCCTATTACAGGAGCCCGTAATGCTGACGCTGTTTTTGTTTATCGCTGCGTTGCGTCCTCATTCCAATTGTTGTTCTTGTGGTTACTGTTGTTGTTGCCCTTGTTGATGTCGGCATTTTTCATCGCCAGGATGCGGAAGCCGTGCGGCAAAGCAACCCATTGCATTGCCTCTCAAGCGATTGAAATTGGTGAGTCATGCGCACTGTCTACTTGGTTGGTGTACGCGATAGATAACGTATTTTCGTAAATAACTAACACATCGACTTAATCATTGCTCGTTTAGAGATGCACATAATTAAAATACAATTCGTGTGCTTGTTCATAACATAAATTTAAATTTGAACGTGCTGCCGATAGAAATATCGATATTTGTATATCGCTCAAGCGATCTCGCCAGCGTTGCCACTTTTGCAACACCTGTTGCGTTCTTAATAGGGCAACACTTGCTAGTTAAGTAATAGCTTTCGCCATTTACTAAGATAAACAATATGGCTCTGCGACTCGTGGCCAAAAATTGCAATAGTCTGCTGCAGCAAAGTCGAAGCTGGCTCCCAGCAACTGCAACATGGAGCCGCACATTAGCCCATTACCCCATCAACGATTTGATGTTTGGCTTGAATGAGGATCAACAGAAGTTGAGAGAGGTGGCCTTCAATTTCTTTCAAAAGGAGCTGGCACCTCATGCCAAGGAGATTGACAAGTTGGATAGCTTCAAGTATATATAACAATGGGAGAAATTAAAAGTCTAGCTCTAAGTTAAACTTTCTCCACACCCACAGAAATCTTCGTCCCTTCTGGCGAAAATTGGGCGAATTGGGTTTCCTTGGCATAACTGCGGAGCCTGAATATGGAGGCACAGGTGGCACTTACTTGGATCACTGCATAATAATGGAGGAAATTTCGAGGTAATTTTCACTAAATGCTCTAGATGAATATTGACTGCTATCATTAATAAAACCATCGATTACTAATTTCACCAGAGCGGCTGGAGGCGTTGCCCTTTCTTATGGCGCAAACTCCAATCTGTGCATCAATCAGATCACCAAGAATGGCACACACGAACAGAAGGAGAAGTATCTGCCCAAACTGTGCAGTGGTGAGCACATGGGTGCCCTGGCTATGTCGGAGCCTGGAGCCGGATCTGATGTCGTCTCAATGAAACTGCGGGCGGAACGTAAAGGCGATTACTACGTTCTGAATGGTAGCAAGTTCTGGATAACTAACGGATCCGATGCCGAGACTATGGTCGTATATGCCAAGACAGGAGCGAGCGGAGTTCCAGATAGACACGCAATTACCGCCTTTATAGTTGAGACGGGCTGGGAAGGATTCAGCGTCGCTCAAAAGCTGGACAAACTGGGCATGCGTGGCAGCAGTACCTGTGAGATCGTCTTCCAGGACCTCAAAGTGCCCGCCAAGAATATACTAGGCAAGGAGAACAGAGGCGTCTACGTGCTGATGTCGGGTCTTGATTTTGAGCGTTTAGTTTTGGCTGCCGGCCCTGTAGGTCTCATGCAGGCCGCCTGCGATGTGGCCTTTGACTATGCTCATCAGCGCAAACAAATGGGCAAATTGATTGGCGAGTTCCAGCTCATTCAGGGCAAGATGGCTGATATGTACACCAATCTGAGTGCTTGTCGCAGTTACCTGTATGCCGTGGCTAGATCCTGTGATGCGGGCGTTAAAAGCAGCAAGGATTGCGCCGGTGTTATCTTGTACTGCGCAGAGAAGGCAACGCAATTAGCTTTGGATGCAATACAAATCCTTGGCGGAAATGGCTACATCAATGAGAATCCAACTGGACGCATTCTACGCGATGCCAAACTATATGAAATTGGTGCAGGCACTTCGGAGATTAGGCGTTGGCTGATTGGACGTCAACTTAACCAGGAATACAAGTAAAAAGTGATATTTATACAGTGAAAACAATCTTAACCAGACAGACTATTTGTTGCATTTATTTTGTGTAGGAACGGTATTGTAAAAATGTGAATGTTTATCTATTTCTAACTAAAACTTAAAAACTCTGAAAATGTTATTAAAATGTGTATAATAAAGTAATTATTACGATTATCGCAATAGAGATGGTTCTTTATAAAAGTCACATTTTTAAGTGGCTGTATCTCGGAAAATATCCTTATGGATCGGGAAAGGACGCATTAAAATTAATATCAAAGAACACCATAATCCTTGAATACAGTACAGTTATGCTTGAGAAAGAGGTATTTTGCTGCGATTAGTTGGCACAATAGATTTTAATGTTCACTCTATAATTATGCTTTAAAATTTGATACATTCACAAGATGTGGGTTGTTGACGCCTTTCTGTAATGAAAATATTTCTAAAAAGGACTTTTTCGATGACTAAATCTAAGTTCAAAAAGTAATTCTGTTGCTCGTATTGTTAAAATATTGTTTTTATTAATTTACAAAAAATACACAATTAAAATATGCAATTACGTATACACGACGGCTCACATATGTACTCGTATGTATATACAAAACGAAATTACAGAGAAAATAAATCTTTTTTTATATAGAAGAACATAGAACAAGGTTTACGTACATAGATGATTTATGAACTAAACGTTATGTGAACAACAAATTGTTTTTTATCCGCGCACAACTTGACGCTGAATTAACTAAAATGGCGTTAATTATAATTTTTCGTTTTTATATATGTTTTGTATATTTAGTGTTTAGGTGCACGGTAATAAATTGCATTGATCTAACAATAAATCGATGAACCCAAATTGATTTTATATTGTTACGGTTACGGGTTATTGTGCTGTTTTTTGATTTATCTTATGTTTCGTCTGATTAGTACAAATGTGTTGTTTATGCATTATGTTCGGGTTTGATGTATACGTGCCAAAGCGGCGATTTTGACGGATATAGATTGGCAATAAATTGGCAGATTAACACGTACACATAGAAAAAAAGCTCACAACAAAAGAATATACACAAGAATATCTTAAAACAAGAACAGAGAAATCGAAATCGAAATGAAAAGCGATTATTACGTTACAGTTAGGGCGTGTGGGTAATATATAGACATACTAACGCTAGTGGCTAATTATATTTAAATGTTAAATTATTACTATTAGTATGTGTGTAAATGTTAAAAGCACATTTGGCAAACATCTTCATTTCGTTTGGGCTGCAAACACTTTATGCTTTATTCCAGGCGAAAACTGTGCTTCTCCGTTTTCGTTTCCGATCGCGATTCCGTTGTGGTTGTAAACGATTTGCGCTCCATGACGCGCTGTGTCATTGAGGTGAGACGTTCGCTACCCTGATCCACATAGCTAATCTTGCCGCCATCCGTGTTGAGAGTCATCTGCGAGAAGCTCGATTCCAGCGGTTTGACTTGACCCAATTCACTGCCGCCGCTGCTGGTGTTAGCCGACTTGTCAAAGTTTCGCGTCTCGTATCTGCTGAAGAACCCAAAGGTTAGCACAAATTTTGGGAGGAACAGAATAATTATGAACTAACCTGGATGTGTAACCCTCGTAGTTCTGTCCGGGATATGCATTGTTGCCGCTGGTTAACTGCACCACGCCGCCCTGGCCAAAGGTCTTCTCATTCAGATCCTGCACACATGCATCCAGATTGCGATTGCCGGTGGGCTTCTGTGGCGGTGGTGGTGGCACAACTGGTGCTGAACTCTGCGTTTTAAGGCTGGACGTTTCAAAGCTATGCTGCTGGTAATTGGCGTTAGTGGGTGTGCCCGCTCCCATTGTTGTGGTGGTTGTGGTTGTGAAGCCATTGCTGCCCGCACCCGCAACTGGGCTGCCAGGATAGGGGCGTGGCACTGCATTGGCGGTTAGTTTGGGATTAGAGCGAAAACTGTGACTCGATGTCGCAGTTTGCATGTTAGAAATGGTCGTGGACAACGGCGGCGGTGGTGGCGGAAAATCTCCATTTGCATCATCCATATTCGCATAATTTGCAGGCGGTGGTGATACGGCACCCGGATGATGGAAATGCTGTGGCTGTGGGCTTGCATAATTATAATGGTGCTTCTGTTGACTGTTCGGACCGGAGCCAGTATAAAAGCTTGGCGAGCTTGGCAAATCACCCGACTGGGAGCCGTAGTAGACTGCGCCGCGACCCACAATCTGTTAGGGTTAGCATTAGAAAGAGAAACGGAGAATCGGTTGGTTAGAGAGATTAGGGTTAGGAGCAGTTACAGCTACAGCTACACCGACACCAAGTGAGAATTTCATCGGTATTAAATCAATGCCAATTTGTTTTGTTGGTGCAGTCAAAAGCAAATACTAACAACTTAATAAATATTGTTTAAACTTAAGCTAGAAAACCTGTTCATACATTGTTCTGGCTTCGATTGAGTGTGCTGTAGGCGTATTCGGTGTCGCTCTCGTCGGTGGTGAAGCCTTGGGTATTCTTGGCATAGCGTTGCGCCTGTCGCACATGCTTGAGACGCTGACGCGCCTCCTCCAGTTCCTTCTCCTTGCGCAGCACTGCGGAGCGTGCGTTAATCTCCTGCGCCATGCCATCCACCATGGATGTGTTGATCTTCAGCGAGTGCTCCTCCTCATCCTCGAGACCCTGTTGGGCGGCATGCACCAGATTGTCGGTGGATTTGATGACCGCATTGCCGGCTGCCTGCAGGCGACGACCTGCCTCCGAATTGGGATTAGATTTCACCTTGCATGCAATCAGCAATTGTGCCGTGGACGCAGCCACCTGTTTGGCCGTCGAGATGAGCATCTCTTCGGTGCCGACGCCACGCACCAGATTCTGGGCAGCCTCCACCAAACTGTGAGTGGCTGCAGCCACCAGACGTGCAGCCGAAATGAGACCCTCCGACCACTGACCATCATCGGAGCTGGTCAGCGGACGACGGGCCACTTTGCCTTGATCAATGAGCTCCCGCTGAGCGGCATTGGCAGCGCGGACGAGAGCAGCTGAAGCAGCCATAATGCCCTTGGCCGCCTCCAGTATCATCTCATCGAACTTCATGTTCTCATCCAGCTCGATCTGCGGAAGAAGGGATAAATTTAAAATTAATAACAAATTAAGTGAATAAATATAGTTAATTCATATTAAAAAGCAAAACACCATTTTGAGTTAAAGTTAAGTTTTGGTTTGATTTGGTTTGATTTGGTTTGATTTGTTTTTAGTAGAGTTTCAACAATCACAGTAATAATATGTTTGATTCCTGGGTGAACTTTTGAATGTAACAACCAAGAATATCAAACATATCTCACTGGAATCATTAGATGAGTGGGTAGTTGGTTGGTTGGTTGATTGGTTGGATTTTTATTTTATTGGTAGTTTGGGTTGATTCGAGCCAGCTTTACACTTACAGACTAAATGAGTTAGTTGTAATTATGACAACTGAGTTGGAGACGAGCGAGCAGCAGTTGAGAGTTAGTTTCAATTCACCATTCACATTCACCGTTTAAATACTAAATGATTAGAGTCAAATGGGATCGACTCAACTCACCGTAACATCCGCCTGGCGACGTGGTCGCAACGATGCCAACTTCTTGGCCGCTGCATCAATGGAGGCAGCAGCGCCCAGCAGCTCATTCTCGGCAATCACTGTGGGATCCTCGGGATCAATCCAGTCGGAGCCCTTCAGCAGGCGTGCCATGGCCACCAGATCTGTGACGCACTTGGCCACGCGACGAGATAGATGCATGCGATCATCGGCACTGCAATTATGCAGAATGCCGTTGAGCAGCTCCCGATAGGATTCGGCTACAGCTGTGCCAGCTTCCAGAGTGCGTACACGCAGCTCATCGGTCTCAGCACAGTTCCAGGCCACTGCTCGACAAACAATCAGCATATCGGAGATGGCACGACGACCCAAATTCGCAGCCGCCACAATATCAGCCTGCAGATTGGAGGTGCCAGCGGCGACAGCCTTGGCAGTTGCTGCTGTCACATTCATGGTGACGCGTATCAGATCTTCGGGTCCCACCTGAATGTGGCCCACGGGTGGTGGTGTCTGCATCGCCTGCAAAATGAGAGAGGTAATTGATTAATAGTTACGCCAGAGAGTAGGCAACTTAAAGCCAATCTTACGCGTATCTCCTGTGAGATGGCCTCCACAGTGGCTTCCATGGCGCGTGTGCCACGCGTATGCTCATCCTCCACAGCCTTGACGGTCTTCAAGAGCGAGGAAACGTTCAGCACCATTACCTAAATGCAATAACAAAAAAAAGTGTTTTTTGTTTTTGTTTGAGGGGAGCAGAAATGTTTGTTATTAATGTTGAGTTTTTAGTTTAGAAAGTAATTGTTTTATATAGTTAGGAATAACTTAGCAGTAAACTCTAAAAAAGTACGATCTACAAACTAAAAGATCTACAAATATCACGACTACATTACGATGGTTCTGGCACTTTTCGGATCAAACAATTCTAGGTTTCAATATACGAGAATTGAAATTGATAAACACTCGACCAATGATAATATGAATTATATGAATTTTATTTGAGATAATAAACAAATATTGATTAAATTCATTCGAGACAACATTCATTTCTTGGGTACTATAACATTCGATTAAAGGGACAAAAGGAAGAACTTGCAGATGTCATGGAAATAAAGAGTAAATATTGTGTTTTCAAATAAAAGCCTCAATTTTGGAATAGTTACTTAATGCATTTCACTTTTTAGGTTTTTAGAAAACTCTATAAGAAATTCATTGAAAACATTAAATATTACGCTTGAAGAGAAACAAGAACTTCAGTTTGCGAGTGACTACTGTATTCGGAAAAATATATATGCATAGACTCTAATTCCCAGCGCATCTACAAGTTTTACAAAAGTTTTTTCAATATCAAGTTGAAGTGGGAAAAATGTTTGGAATAATGTATTATTTCTTTTTTTGTTTTGCTCGTTGTTTTGTGCAATGATTAATGTAAATGTTTAAAGAAGAATTTCGTCAAGGTTTCCAAATTGGTTGTGTGGCGCCCACTAATGACTCATGATTCCACCATTGCTGGCTGCTGGCTGCTGTTGCTGCTGCTGGCGCAGTGGGTGTGTGTTAGTTTCTGAATGGGCGCTGGCAGCTGATTGGCAAACATCTTGAAGCGTCTGCTTTGTGGTTGTTGTTGTAAACAGTTTTTTTTTTATATATATATGTGGTGTAGTAGATGGTATTTAGATCGATATCGATAACGATAAGTTGCGTATATTCCACAGCGAGCGCAGAAGAGAGCAAAAGAGCGAGTTTTTTTTTTGATTTGAGTTCGATTTGCGTTTTTGTACAGTTCATGAGTTGGTTTTATATATATATTATATATATATATATATTATGTGTGTGTGTGTGTATGGGAAGAGAGAAGAGCAGAGACGACGAACGCGCACAAATTAGCAAAAAAACAGAAACGAAAATATACAAGAATTTATGGATTTTTTTTTTTTTGTTTTTTTTACAATGTGTGTGGGTGAGCAGGGTGGTTCGGTGAATTTGTTTTGGGTGGGTGTCGATGGTATTGGTGGTGGATCGACAAACAGGGGGTGGGAGAGAGCACAGCAAATGCATGCAGAGCAGCAGAGGCAAAAGGGGGGTGATTCGGGTGGATGATTGAACAGAGAACAGAGAGTTAGAGCTGACGGCGCAGGGATGAGTGGTAAAATGTATGCCAAATGTGGTTCTGTGGTGCTCGAAAAAGGCAAATATGTTATTAGGGCTGCTTATACACATGTATTAAGTCAGTATTTGCATATTTTTGTGTGTGTGTGTTGGTTAAACATTGAAAACATTAATAACATTGAAGAGATAAAAACATAAAGCGCCAGCAAAATCAGTAGCAGCAATGAAATCTTCAAAAGAGCAGCGGGAGCAGAGCAGAGCAGCAAGTGATTCAAATTCGAGAGCAACTGCAGCATGAGTTTTTGGGAGGCAACCTGTGTGCATGGAAAACAGCAGCAGCGACAGCAAAGTGGAAGAGTTTAAAGTTATGCGGATTATTTTTCATGGGTTTCTTTCTTTCATCTTATAAGTAAGTGTTTTAAGTGGTTGTTTGATGATGAGTGCCAAAGCCATTTTAAAGTATTTACGAGTATTTTAAGAATGCCACAACAACATTTATGTATGCGAGTGTGTCGGTGTGTTGTGGATAGCTTGAAAATACACACATTAAATTGGGAAAAAGTTCCTTTCAAATGATAAACCATTGAACTCAGTCAAATCTTAAATCTTTAGAATTTGAAAAGCAGAATAAGTATAAATATTTAACTCTGCTTTTGCATGTATAACTCACTAATTAGGAAACCATTCCAAATATTTGCTTTTTTTACATTATTTTTAGAGGTTTGTTAAGGAAAACAGAAGCGTTCTATTGCTAAGAATATTAATGGAAATGATTTCAACTAATCTCTCTTTAAGAACACGTCCAGTCCGTAAGTACCTCAGTTACTATCCCAAAAAAGAACCATTACCACATTAAAATAAGTTACAAGTTGGTGAGGTGTATATACCCGATCTAGAAAATATTACACACTTTTAAAAAAAGAAAGCCACAACAACGAAAGCTTAACAGCAAAAGAGAGTATTAAAAAAAAAACTAGACAGATGAAAAGACTTAAGAAAATTGGGAAAACTGTTTAAAGAAAAGAAGGGGAAGAAATACAAAACATACCCTGGCGCTCTCTTTGAGGCCCTGCATGGAGGGATCGTGTATGGGTTTGCCTGAGGCCAACTTGGTGCAGTTGATCAAATCGCCCAGAGCTGAGGCCACATCCTTGACGGCATTGATGACCATAACCTGCGAATCAGGCTGCGACGAGCCCAGAGAGCAGGCGCCACGCTTGACGGCCTCCGCAAGTTGAGCTGTATTGGGAGCAAGGAACAATATGAATATTAAAGATCCCGGACTATCTATGCGCAGTTGACTCACTTATGGTGGAGACGGCATTTTGTGCAGCATTCGCCAGCTGATCTTGAGTGCCGGCGGCGCCCGTTACGAGCACCTTGGTGTCCTCGACAAGGGCTTTGGCCGTTTGTAAGATGTGCTCGCGATGATCAGCAAAGCTGCCATCGCCATCCGAGTGCAGTGTACCTGCTGTGGCAAACATAATGGTGGTGTCCAAATCCCCAATGATGCCCGAAACGGTGTGGGCAGCATTGATGCAGGCCTGAGTGCCACGGGAGCCAGCCTGCAAGGCAGCCAACACCTGGGCCACCTTCTCAGATACTTCGCGTGTATTGCGAGCAATCTCCTTCTGGGCACTGGCATCGTTGGGACTGGCGCCGCCCGCTGATGACTGGATCATGGAGCTGACGGATCGTCCCAGATCGATGACGGTGCTGCGTATGCGCATCGCCACATCCTGTGAGGTGGTCGTGGTGCTGGCACCCACCGAATCCTGGGTGAGCAGCTGATAGTGTTGGGTCATATCCACGGCAAGTTGGGGCAATGCAGCTGGCTCCACGCTGCTCTTGGCGTTCATCTCATTACTGAGGCGAGCAATCTCCTTGGCGGTGGCCACCATGCGCGTCTGGTAGTCAACAAATGTGTCCGAGTAGGAGGCATTCAGCAGCGACTGACGCTTATCGGTTAGCCGCGTAATGGCCCGATTCACTTGCTCCATGAGGCCAGTGACAATGCCCGTTTCGGCGTTGATCTTCTCCACAGTTTGCTGCAGCTCCTGAATGGCCTCCAGAGTGCCATCGATGGCCTCGTCTAGCCGTGGATGCGCCTGTGTGGCACGTGGATTGCCCGCTGAATCCTTGGCCGCTTGCACCAATGTTGTGGCGCTCTCGACGACCGACTTGGTCTGATTGATCAGCGACATCTGCTGCTGGCTGTGCACAATGTGGGTGCAGGCACCGATGGCACCATTCACCATGGGCACCACATACCGCGAAATCTCACCGACAGCATGTCCCAGCTGCTCGGCATTGTTCTTGCCAGCCACACGAATGGGTTCCAACTTGTCCAACAGCTCGGCAGCAGAGTTCAAAGTTTGGCCACTAAAACCATGCAGATTGTTATCACGTCTCCGGCTCAGGCCTTGAGCGTTGACAGCCAAAGCACAGCCATCCAATTCACGGGTGCAGGTGCCCAGGGTGTGCAGAACCTGTTCACATTGTGCCTGTCCCGGCGCCTTGTCGCGGATGTTGTCCACCAGGCGTTTCACGGACTCCGACACGGGTGTAGAGTGCATGGAGAGTTGTTGCCAAACTGGCGGATTATCCGGTGACAGAGCCAAAGATTTGGCAGCTTTAACCATCTCAACGACACCATCGATGACTCCACGTCCGGCCTGAATAACGGGCTCCTGTGCCTTGCGGCCCTCGGCCGAAATCTTGGCCGGTATGGAGATGAATTCCGGACTGGAGGCATACTGGCTGACAGCCTTGACAGCCTCCAGCAGCGGCTCAACGAGCCTATCCCGGCTACCACCCGTCGGCTGCTCCTCAATGGCCTTGATATCCTGTACCAAATCAGAGGTGGCGGTGGCCACCCGCTTGGCCAGCACAATGAACTCATTCTTGGCCACCGGATTGTTGGTGTTCATGCTCGCCTGTCGGCAAATGGAGCACAGATAGCTCGTGTGCTTGGCAATCACTGTCAAAGCGGAGATCATCTGCGGCTTGCCGGACTGGGAGCTGCTCACGATGTCGCAGTGCTGACGGATACCCTGATAGGCCCACGTCAGCTGCGCCTTATCAATGATGCCTGGCCGGCCGGCCACACTGCTCGGATGCGAGACACCAATCAGATACGCTGCCTGCGAGGAGCTCTCCATGAGTCCCTGAATGGAATCGTTCACATTGTTCACCGACTGGCTAAACTCGACGTGCTGCGACTGTTTGGCATTGTTGATCATCTCGGATATGGCATAGCCCAAATTGCGGGACTTCGATGTCGCCTGCTCCACACAATCAAAGTAGCCCATCTCATTGATCGGCTCGTGCGGATAGTCGAGCATTAGACGCAGTGCCTCAATGTTGCGCATAGCATTGTCGCATTCCTTCTGGCCCGGCGCTGATTGGATGCTGGCATCGACCAGCTGATTGATGCTCTCTGTCACGCTGCGTGCGGCTGCGTGCAACAGATTTTTGGCATTCGGCTGGCCGGGATCGGCAGCAATGGACTTGGCAGTGGAGAGCAGTGAGCACGATTGTGTGGACACATTGCGCAGGCTATCGATCATCTGGGAGCGCACGGGCTCATCCGTCTGCGTTTGCCCGGCCATTTGCATACTGACCGACAACAGATCCCGATAGTTGGCCGCAAAATTTTGGCTGCTATCCGCCAGCAGAGCGGGACTTGCATAGGATTGCACAATCTGTCCGCCGGCGCTGCTCAACTGCTCGGCGACCTGCTTCAACTCCGATTGCAGCTCGGCATAGGGTCGATTCGAGGGTGGGAATTCACTGACCGACAATATCTCGCTGAGATCGCTGACATTACGCAGTGCCGCATCCACCTCCCGTTGTCCGGGTATGCAGTCCACGGTGCGGGAGAGGGCACTCGTCACATCCCGGCCAGCTTGGGTGAGCGCAATCGGATCGGAGACACCCTGCAGTGTGCGTTGCGCCTGCTCGATGAGCTGAGCCGAACTGGTCACCACATCGTCGGCGCAATCAATGATCACTGGATTCTGGGTGGTCGCCGCCACGCCGTGCACACTCTTGGTAAAGTCACCCAATGCCAGGGCAGTGTCTCGTCCAGCTGCGCCTGCATAGCTGCGTTGTCCCTGCAGCACTGAGCTGAGCAACTGGCTCAAGGCAATGCCCACATTCTTGGCCGACTTGCGCAGATCGTCGGCGGTGTTCTCCACCGTATCTCCGGGCAAAGGACGCAGTTGACCCGCCAAAGCAGCCTGGCGTGTATCATCCAGCACATGATGCAGCTTACGCACCGCCTCCAAGGCAGACTCCAACTCCTGTCCGCCGCAAGCATCGCGAGTGCGTTGCGCCACCGAATGCAACTCGGAAACGCTCTGACCGAGGTGTAGAGCGCTCTTCGAGAGCTGCGTTGCCGCCGGTATATCGGTGACGGTGGGCTGCAAAGCACGCGACGATTTGGACACCTGGAGAGCGGGCTCGATAAACTGCTCCGCGGCCTCGATAAGATTGAGCTGCGCATGAGCATCGTCCGGTTGGGCGTGCGTCGTCTTCACAGAGGTGACCAGACGTGGTATGGTGTCCGCGACACGCTTGCAATCCTGCAGCAGCGACTCCTTCGTCTGATGATCCTGACTGTGCTGCACCGCATTCTGGGCAGCCGAGATGCACTGGGTGGCCGCCGTTGCTGCCTGCTTGGAGCAAAACTCCAAGCGCTGAATAAGGTTGCGCTTCATCGCAGGAGTATTGGCAGCGCTGGTGGTAATCTCGCGCAGCTCCTCGGCGGCGCGTCGCAATGCGTTCTGATTGTCCGAGTCGTGGGGATTGGAGGAGCAGAGGCGTGCCGCCTCCACCAGCTTGGTGGTAGCATCGGCCAGCTGCTTGGCTGCCGACAGCAAACGTCGCTGCATATCCGCATCCTCCTGCTGATCGGCCTCACCCTTAATGCTCTGTATAAGCTGGGCAGTTGTTTGGCCCAAGGTGCGGGCATGACGCACCATTTCCTGGGGATCGTTGGTGGACACGAGAATGTCGGTGCCAATGATGACATTCTCGACGGGACTCAGCTCCTGACTGGTGCGATTCGCATGCTCGCGTGTACTCAGCTTCACATGCTCCAGCATCTCCATCAGACTCTTGGACACATCACGTGCCGCATCGAGGAGATCGGCCTTCAGCTTGGGATCATTGCTCGCCTCGTTGCACACCTGGCACAGTGAGTTCACAGCTCGGGCCACATTTCTGGCCGCCGCCTCCAATTGTTCCCGGCAGGCAGCATTGTGTAGAGTGGGTGCAACTACCTTGGCGCATGCCACCAACTGACTGGTGGCCAGGGCACATTGGCTAGCTGCTCCAATGACACGATTGCGTGCCTCATCATCCTCACAGCTGGCGGCAATATTCTTGGCACGCAGCACCAAGGCAGCTGTGGTATTTGCCACCGCCTTGGCCAGGGCGAGGAGCATGTCGTGGAGATCACGACTCTCGGGTGCCTCCTCCTCGGCAATGGTGCTCAGCACGTGAGTGGTGGCTTCACCCACACGGCTGGCCGCATTGATGAGATGCTGTGGCGGTTCCTTGCTCTCCGGCTCGGCAGCCTTGAGTAGATCACTGAAAGCATTGCACAGATTGCGAGCTGCCTCCAGCAATTGATCGCCGTTCGTGTCGTTCTCCATGAGGGCGGCAATTAGACGCACCTCCTTGGTGACCTCGGGTATGGTTTGGGCAATTTGCGATACAGATGCGGAGATGGCTTCCGTATCCACTTCATCCGGATGCGAGGCGGTAATGATCTGAGCGGTCGCAGCGCTCATTGTGGCCACATGCGAGCTTACCGCCTGCTTGGAGGTGTCCAGTGTATTCTCGCGCCATTCGATTGAACGCAAATCGCTGCCCAGCTCCTGAATGGGTGCCTGCACAGAGAGAGAAGAGAGAGAGACAGAGAGATGTGTGCTATAGTAGGGAATTCTCACAGGTTTCTTATAGTTCCAGCTTACCTTGGTGCGCAGCTCCTCGTCGGCGCGTATTAAGACATCCTGACCAGCGGAGATATAACCATGCAGCGCTCGCTGCGGCTCCGTCAGATTCACAGAAGTAATGCGAACTTCATTAGACTATGTGGGAAAAGTCATCAGAGAAGAGTTAATATTATAGAAATTTATCTACATTTTTAAAGTCTGTCTAAAAGACACATACTTTGTGAGACTCTTCATGACCGTTTTCTGAATGTTCGCAGCATGTTAAGAGAATGGATAGAAATTCTTAGTTTGAATTGTCTGGTTATGTTGTAAAGTAATTTGTTGGTGGCTATTTTTAAGAGGTGCAATGGCAAATTAGACTAAATGGCATGAAATGAAGTGTTTAGAGTGTTGAACGAGGGGGGCAAGTTTTGTGTGGCTTTCGAGGGGTCGCTTCCATCCAAAAACTTACCGTTGGCGGCTGATGCGCATGGTTGACCTGGCCGACAAAGGCGCCATACTGCACGGTCTGCACTTCGTTCTGGGTGAAGGTGCGTTCACCTGCACATCGATCCCATCGAGACAGAGAAAAGGCGATTTACAAAAATAAGAAATCAAATAAATTATCAAAAGCGAAAAAGAAAGAATAAAAGCTAAACTAAAATCACAAATCTGTTGGCTTAGCAAATACTAAAAATCGAATCTAATATAGTAAAAAGCTGAAGCTAAAGTGCAACTATCTTAAATAGAAACCAAAAGCACTAACCGTCATAGGGCCGCATTACGCCGGGATGCGCCAAACTTTCCAAGTTGAGCTTCTCCACACGATTCGTTTCGTGTTGCAAGAAGGTGGCCCTGAAGAAGACCATATAAATATATAAGTAAATTCAACAATTGTGTTTTAGCTATTCAACTCACTTGGATGGCGCCACAGACTCCTCCACCATGGTGGATCCCTCGTCACCCTCGATGCCAAAGTGATCCTTGGTGCGTTTCTTCTTCAGTATGATATCGATGTAGCCAGCAATGAGCTGCACAATCTGCTCGGCTTCGGTCGTTTGCACCGAATAGTATTGGTTCGCATAGTCGCCAAAGTCCAGGGTGAACGTATTCGGGGATGCGCCCCAGCGACGCACTGTGGTCAGTGGCCACGAGATTAGAATCTCCTTGGTGCGCTCGTCCAAACGCAGCACAGAGTCTTTGGTAACGCCCAATAGACGCGGCACTAGCTTGTTCTTGCCATTCATCTTCTCCTTGACCAGAAAGAAGGTGACGCCATAAGTGGGCAGCTCCCGAGCCGTCTTCGTATACAGGACTTTGGCATCGATTTCCGATAGTTCCGAGTGCCTTTTGTGCTCCGAAAAGATCTTCTTCTCAATGTTCTTGACACGCACATACGATTGCGGCAAAAAGTCCTTCAGGCTGCAGAAAGGAAGAGATAGAAGTGAGAGGTAGGGCAGTTGATTAATGAACAGTTTAAGAAATACATTTTAGACTGCAGACTTACTCCAAAAAGCCGGGTTTATGCTTGGCCTCGTTATGCGGACCAAATTGTATGTGCACCTGAATGCCAGCGAATTCGCAAGCTGAAAAAAGGAAAGAAAATGTGTCAAATATAAAAGAAAACTGCGGCTTTTAAGGAGACTCACCCTTGTCCTGTGTAACAGGATGTGTGCCATCGAGAATGGCATCTCTGGCCTGCACGTAGAGTAAATTCAACTGGACAGGATCACGAGAGTCAATGTTCTGGTCCGAGAAGAAGAAGCGACGTCGCAACAGCACCGTCTCCGACTCATCGATGCCCTGTTCGCGCAGAGTGCGACCCACATCAACCCAATTCACTGTAAACGATAGACACAAGTTAGACTATCGACCGATAATTGATGCCAGTTGTGGGCTACTTACTTTCATCATCGGTTTTGAGTTTCTTGCGCAAACTTTCCATTTTCGCATCCCGATCCTTTTCCGTAAACTTGCGCTTGAGCGTAAGCGTGCCGAATTTGTTGTCCGGCAAGTTTTCGTTTTGGGCCTCATTATCCTCACGCACGAGGCCATACTCCTCGTGATTGGTAATGCCAATCTTGGTACAGATGACAACCATCAGCTGCGACACGGGCTGCGTATCATCGACCAGTATGGTCTTCACGGCGCCATCCAGCATGCGGACACGTAGAGTGCGCAACTTGCGTCGATACTCGAGCGTATCCTGATTATGCAGTATATAATAGCCCAAGGTGCGACCTGCTTCCAGCCAGACGCCCTGCTGATTCTGATCATCCGAAATGAAGAGGCCATATTCGCTAGCTGCAATGGAATCAGGGTACACATAGATTATATATAGATATATATCTCTGTCTATGAGATAGATATTACTCACGTTGTCCCTGAACGGCTTCGGCAAATTTATCGCGTATAATTTTACAGGCATCGAAGACTGTCGTATTTGGTTGGAATTGTATGGTCTTGGTCACTCGACCACCTTCCAGCTGTATGCGCAGCGATAGTGTGGACATCTTTGACTCTTCTTTTTCTTCTGGCACTGCCTCGTTGTCTGGGTCGTACTAGTCCTAATCGTTTGCTTAAACTTAGTGTTGTATTACGTGTAGAAATTGTAAAAGGCACTGCAAGTGGTAAGTGAAAAATGGAAAGAAAATTTTTTTTAGAGAGCACAGCAGGCGTTATAAACATGAAATAAATGGCTGTTCAAGTGTTACAAATAGCGCACACTGAGCGAAAACTAAAAAAAAACCGAAACCAAAAACCAAAACCACCCCCAAAAACACACACACAAACACAGAGTCAGACAGACACAGCCACAAGAGATAGCCGGATCAGGGCAGTCCGGGCCGTGCCGTACCGTGCAGTGCTGAGTTGGGCTGGGCCGGGTCCGTGTCGGGGGCAGCCACCACCCAAAAAGCAGACAAGCGACAAAGTCGCTCCGCTGCTGCTGATGAAAATCTTCTATACACACACACTCGCATACACATACACACACACAGTCAGCCAAACACACACACACACACAGTCAGCCAAACACACACACAGACACAATCAGAGGGCACTTCAGTTTCGAAATCAAAGCCCAGGCCATTGTAGTAGCTTTGGGGTGACTTGCAGCACTCCCTCTGCTGCTAACACTGCTGCTGCTGCTGCTGCCTCTGCTGCTGCCCACGGAGTCAAAGCTAGTCATTATGCCAAGCAGCGACGCTAACGTTGACAGCGCTGTTTGTTGTTGTTGTTGTTGTTGTTGTTGCTGCTGCTGCTGCCATTTTATGCGACATTAATGCCTGGATTTTTAGCTAAATTCACTTAATGCTCGACTGCTCCCCGGCAACGCTTGTAATTGATTTTTCTTCATCGTCCTTTCGCCCACACGCAGATCGGGGAGCAGGCTGGCAGGCAGGCAGGCAGGCAACAAGGCAGGCAAAGTGTGTCAGCTAAAGCAACCCCCAAGCCGGAACACGATAGCATTATTTTCTTATGTAAAAAAATCGATAATTTGCACAGCTTATGTTTTGGTTGAAGCATCCCCCACACAAACGTTTAGCATGCGGAAGCACTTGAAATATCCGGCAAAAAGTGTCAGTCTCATAAGAGTCTAGGCACACACACACACACACTTATTGTACACATACACTGCACACACACACATTGTTAATAATTTACATTTTGCCAGTTGGCAGTTTGCCGATTGCTCCATATGGCGGCTTTGATTTGTAAGCGGCAACTTGGCTTTTATTTGGCGAACTGATTTTGGATGCACGTCTGCTGGCCACGAAATCTGGCACGTAACTGAAAAAGGTTACCTCAAAATTGGACCAGCCAAGGGGATGCTGCGACGCCAGCGTTGACGCCGACGTCGACGTTGTCAACCACATTTTCGCTGCCTGTCTGCGCCTGGACAAAGAGACAGCGGTGAGACAGAGTCAGAGAGCGAGAGAGAGCAAGAGAGAGCAAGAGAGAGCAAGAGAGCGACGCCTGCGCATTGCGTGCCGAAAGTTTACTCAAAGGGTGCAGCCAGAATGGCAAACAATTTAACCCCAGAGCACGTGTAGAGTTTTCTCTCTCTCTCTCGCTCTCTCTTTTTCTACGTGTGTAGAGTTTACACACCCGGCAAGGCAACTGTTCGCCTGAGTGGCGCCAGCCGGCAAAGTGTTTTGCGTTTTGCGCAGCTTAAGCGGCGCAGCAACAGAAACGGAAGTCACAGGGGCGTAATCTGATCGGAGCTGAAAAACGAACGGCACACGAATCCCTCCTCAGGCAGCAAAGGGAGCGTGCGCAGTGCTTCTTCTTTTTTTTTAGATGATAGATGACGAACTTAGTTTTGTGGTAAAATAGATAAAGGATAGAGTATGACAAACAAGAGATTGGGAATTGAAGATATGTTGAAACTATTTTGGACGATGTCTCGTTCTTTCATTAAAGCTGACAATTTGGCAGCGTTTACATAACAATAAGTCTATTGTAAATTGTATTATTATAAATCAGAAGTTCAAAAAGAGAAATATAATAATGAATTATAACAAAATCTGAATACTTATTTTCAACAATTTTTGACTCTTCAGTTTGAAAACACTATTGAGCTCAAGCTCTACTAAAGTTTAATAATAAATGTGAAAAGAGAACGTTAAATTGAGTTATTGATTTTAAGAAAAGAATGTTAACAATTCCTGTAATTTTCATATATTTATGGGTATAGATTTTCACTTGTTACTTGTCGCTTTGGCAGCTTTGTTGAGTGCGAGTACTCGCATGAAATTCAATACCCATCCATTAATTCAATTAACAGTGTGGCATACAGCAGAAAACGCCGTCGCCCCCTAAATCATAACCTCAAAGTAAACACAGAGAGACTGAGAAAACTGACAGTGTCACACAAAATGGGCAAAAAGGACGAGGGTGCTGAATAAGGATGTAAACTGGGAATGCAGATGGATTTCACAGAGCTAAAAGACAAACAGTTTCAGCTGAATAACAGGCAACTAGGCGACAACTGCACACACATATATATATATATAGATAAATATATATATGACTGATTTCAGAGTCTTGCGAAGCCACAATGATTGGACATATTGCATTACAGCTGACTAAGGTTTCAATTGATGATGCACTTTTATAGTCTTCATTCGGCGCAGCGATGGCTAATAAAATCGCACAACATTAAATTCTTTCGTTAATTATAGTGCGAAAAATAAAAATGGCATCCACTGAGCGGCCAGGAGAATGCAAATGGAACTCCAACTCCAGCCAAATCTAAAGCTGTGACTGTAGCTGGCGGCACGAGCTCTCACTAATTGGCAACCACTTTTCGCTGGGAAGTCACACTGTGCGCCTAATGGATGTAATTTACTGCCAGCCAACTTTTCTATGGGTCTTACTAATTAATTGCCTGGCACTGTGTTTTTTCTTTTCTTTTTTTTTTTTTTGTGGATGCTGTGCAAATGCACTTTGAATGTGGATGCGGAATCCATAAAGTTGTCGCTTGCTGTTGTTGTTAACATCATTGGGGGAAAGTATGGAAATCAATTGGATGGTCTATGATTTCGTAAAACGATTTTTATTGGATTGTTAGACTAATGAAATTGTGTAAAATTATGGTAAGCACTCAGTTTATTGATTTATTAAATGGAGGCAAAGAAATATTTGAGCTGATTTGAGATGGACCTATTATTACTCAGCATATATAGGAAATAGAAGTATCTTTCTGACTTTTTGAAGTTAAGATTGTAAATACGGAAATGCAAACTAAACACAATGCAAAAATAAGTATATTTCTGACTTTTGCGAATCTTTGTAAATCATAAACTTGGAACACACCAAATGTGCCACATAAAAAAGTTATACCAATATTTTTAAAATACTTAAGAAATAATAATGTGTACAAATATATTAACTACTTTATATTATCTTAAAGATTGTATTCAAATCTGTACTTACTCTTCGTACACATTTTAAAACTCATCGAAGAATTGTTTTTCAAATTTACGTACTGCTTTGTTTTTTTACAGATTTTTTTTCGATTATTTTCAGAAAGTTATTCAAAGGCACAAAGACTTATAACGGCTTATGCTTATCAAGGCACACTCGGGTGTTGTGTGTTGGGTGTTTAGTTGTGGTTGTGTTTGGTGTTTCGTGAGTGTTTTTTGTGTTGGTTTAAAATGTTGTAAATGTTTCATTTCATTTTTTTGTTGTTTTTTTTTTTGTGTATCTTTCAAGGCGTACGGGGTGAAGGGATTTTAAAAATCGTTGACTACGACGGCAGCGCACGACGGTCGGGAGGCCGAGGATCGCGATTGGAGCGACTGGACTCCTTCTGGAGGCGACTGCTCGCCGAGCTGAGGCACGTTTGTGGTGTTCTAACGGCGGCACGGAACGCGTCCAGCACGTTTTTGTACAAGAAATTGTACGGAACCGAAATGGGCAATCATAAAAACACAAAGAAAATCCTAACAAGTTGACTGCTTTAAAAGAATCTCTCCTGTTTAAAAAGTAGCTTCAAAAATCGCGACTACTGAGACTGCTTCTCAAATAACAAATAACGTTTAAAATGTGCAGCAAGTTGCTTAAAAACGTGTTTTGTATATTGTATATACGGTTATATATATATATATATCGTTTTGTTTTTTATCGATAAAAACGTGTGTAGAATACTGGTAACAAATTTTCTGACTTTCATCTAAGGCAAATTAGTGGCAGGGTAGTTGTTGAGCCTAAGGTCTAAGAATAACTACGGCATTACTTAGAGCTACAAAATGTTAAAGTTTTCGTTTAAGGCACACGACGACAATGCAGCAAAAAGTAAAAATCGCGAACTTGTTGTTTTATATTTTCGGGTTATTAATATTATTTTAATAAGGCACTTTTGAGCGTTTACTACTAAACTGAAAGGCACGCGAAACAGTAACGAGCAAACAGAACAAGATAAACTTAACAACAACTCTCAATAACACAAGGCACAAAACGGTGTATAAGAAACGCGTGTTGAACTTGAAATTTTTAGCTCCTGCCGCAAGCAAGTTGCTCCTGTTGCAAGCAAGTTGACTGGACTGGGCGATGATGTCAGCGCTGGCGTGTCCTGCCCGATCGGAGGCTAGGCCTAGAATGATGTGCTACGCCGGCGACACATCGTGCGCTTCTGACGCAAACATCATTCATGCCACAAGTCGTAAGCAATATGAAAATCAACTGTCGTCATCCCGTCGACCAAAAACCAACACAAAAAAAAAACAGGATGCTGTGCCGCGCATGCTCCAAAGCCAAACCAGGCCGGCTGAAACCGAACGATGGGCAAGTCCAACACGTGCAAGAGGGATGGGAGCAGCAGCAGAAGCTGCCACAGCAGCAGCAGCAGCATCAGCAGCAGAGATCAACCCACAGGATGGAGGGGGTGGTGTTTGTGTGCGCGAGTGTGTGTTGTAGCACATAGCACTCTGGCTTTTTATATGTATATATTTTTTTTTTTGGGTAACAACAACAAAATCAACCACCAACTGAGCCACCCAATGGGTGGGCCATGGACCACCAATGGCTGCCTGCGTCTCGCTGCTTATGTACAACAGCAACAACAACAATAACAAAAGTAGCTATTGTTGTTTGCCCAAGTTGTCTAAATGGGTGCTTGCTGTTCCTTTTTTTTTTTTGAATAATGTATAATGTGCGCCAAATTTGACTAAAATCTTTGCGACTTATATCTTATTTGGTCAAATGGTTTGATATTTTTAATTAGCCAAGCTGGCAACGTTTGGGCATTGATTAATTACAGCAGCCAGGAAGCGAAAGATTAAGTATACGCCTGAAAGTATGCACGGCACCGGCGAAATCAACTAGACAAGTTAGCAACTTGTACAAACGCCCTCGGCAACACAGTATTTGCAGCCCCTTTTAAGCCAAGTCAAGACAGCGAACGCTGCCGCCATGAAAAAACTCAACTGGCGCGACTTTCAGGCGCCACAGACTCCATTTTGTCTGGCCACATAAAGTGTGTGTGTGTGTGTGTGTGTGTGTGTGTGTGTGTGTGTGTGTGTGTGTGCGTGTGTGCTGCTGTGCGAGTGTATGTGTGTGTGTTGGCGCGTGTGCGTAGGAGTCCTGCGCCAAAAGGAATCTGCACAGCTAAACACTCTGCTTGTCTCGGTCTCGGTCACAATTCACTTCAGTCAGCACAAAGCAAACTTTTTTATGCTCGCACCTACAAGAAATCACAAACAGGATATGCAAGACTAGCACACACACACACACACACACCATAGATAAACTCAAGCTATGTTTATATATAGTTTCTAGTTCTAGGGTATGTGCAAGTCGCGCATTTCTCGGTGTCTCCTCCCACTGACTGCTCAGTGTGTGGGCGGGTTGCTTGTTTGCTTGTGGCAAGGATAAGAAAATGTCATGAAGCTGAGCGCCAATGTGGAGCCTTTTATGTAATTTCAACAATTTTTATTTGTGTTGAGCAAAAAAAAAAACATGAATAAATATAAAATGCTGTGTGTAGGGACTCGTATAAATAGGCAGAGGCAAAGAGACGGCGACATCAAAATTACGAATCCATAAAAACCACTGAGCACTGCCTATGGGGTCAATGTGATTACAAGTTCTCTGGCAGGCATTCGAATCGCTGATTAAGCCCAAACCAAAGCACAGAGACTATCAAATCAAGGAAGCACTCCTCAAATGATAAATATGAATATACCCGGCATATATACATATTCGAATGCGTTTTATTGGCGAAGGGTATTCAAAGTTAGACAGTCGTTAAGCCAAACTAAACGACTTCTTAGGTAGTTTAACTAGGCAATCAAAAGAAAAGCGTCGTAAAATTTTTAAGATTGCTTCATTTGCTATGGTTTTCTATTTTTTTTTTATTTATAGGGTCAGCTTTTTCAGTAGTCAGCTCAAAGGAATGTTTATAAACTTGTTCTCTAAACGATTAGAACAACAAAAAAGCGCTTGAATCATTGCTTAATTGAGGGATTTGTGGTATTTTTAATTTTTGTACTCACCTTTATAAATAGTGCCAGGTTAGAAGAGAATCAGTTACAGTTGGGTTTAGTAGAAAAAATGATGTTGTTATGCGTTTTTTAATATTCTTTTTTTGTAGAAAGTTTCGTGCTAATTGTTGTCGTTGTTGCGTTTACTTCGTTGATGTTGTTGTTGTTTGTTGTTGTTGTTCTTCTTCTTGTTGCGTTTGTCGTTTAAATATTTGTTTAAGAAATCTGTAAATACAAAGTGTGTAAAAGGCATAAGTGCGATGTTCGAGTACTTTGTAATATATAAAAATTTCAACAACACTTGGGGCAAAAAATATGCACTCGACTTTGTTTGCTGTGCGGTGCTGTGCTGAAGTTGCCACAGTGGCAGCAACATCAAAAGATGCACTCTGAAAACTGAACGCACATTTTTCCTGTTTTCATTTTCCATATTAGCAAGGCGCGACCTCCGCCTGAAGACTTGAAGCAGTTGCAAGTTGTTGTCTTGGCTGACTGGATTGATGCTGTATACACATATATGGGCAATGTGTGTTGTGGCATTGTGGTTATAATGCCACCAAGAAAGCAGCTAGCTTGCAACTGCCGCATATGTACATAGAAGCTGCTGCTGACTACGACTAAAGAATGCTGCACCCGACTTTTCCATTAGCGCATTTTGTTTATAAAAATCAATCAACACCCAAAAGCCCAAAAGCTGCAACGAAGCGTGTCCAAAATAGGCCGCAAACAAAGCCAGCAAGCAGCATTCGCAGCTGGCCAAGAATGCGGCTACAAGCGCAAACCATTAACAAGTCTGCATAGAAACAGAAAATGAGTTCGCTGAGTTCAACCAGGCTCCATGTTCCTGACTGTCTCTGTGTGGCAGGTGCAATCAGCCCAGTCTGGCAGCAATTTGACATCCGCAAATGAAGACAAAAGTGGCTGCATTTTTTTATTTTGTGTTGTGGGCGACTCTGATCCGATCTCAACCTGAAAGCGAAAATGCGACCAATTGTGGTAAGAAACGTGGGCGGCGCCGGTGGTGGCGGCGGCGTCGGAGGTGGCAGCCAAACACTCGACAAGTTGTTTGGCCGGCTCAACAATTTGGCCGCTGATTGTAGGCCGATTGTTTGCCCGTCGGTCTTGGCTTGTTCTTACACTCGATAACGGGGCACGTAGTTAAAGCGAACACAATCTGAGACCTTGGCACGATTCTCACAATCATCGCTGTAGATAGTTATATAGGTAGGTAGGCGCTGTGGCACGTACGATCTGTGGGCAGGCTATAATTTGATTGGATAGCAATATCGTACTAGTATCTCAATACTTGAATACTCAATTAACAAGAAACGAGCTCAAGTGCGGGCTTTGCACTGAGAGCTTATTGCCAAGAAGCTTTTTTATGTTGTTCGATGCTTAAACTGCTTGGGAATTTCAAAAGAAGAATGCTAAGAATGCCAAGCCACAGATAGCCCATGTCTCAGAAAATAATATACTGGGAAAAGTTTAAGTATTCTTTAAACGAGTGAAGAACAGTAAGTGCCTCAAAATGTATAAATTAGAATAAAAAGAGGAAAATCAACGGATAAGTAGAAAAAGAAGACACATTTCATGTGGAAAACTAGAAAATGCAACAAATTACTAAAAAATAGTTAAAACTAGTTAAAAAGACCGAAAGGAACAACACAAGATTTATAAATTAAAATAAAAATGAGAAAAATCAATGGAAAACAGAAAACACAACAAGATAAATTACAACAAATAAATAAAACAAGAGAAAACGAGTTAAAGATTTATAAATTATAATAAAAATGTATGAAAAAGTAGAAAACAAGACAAAGTACTATGAATAGTTAAAGCCAGATAAAAACAGGGACAGAAACTAGAGTTAAAGATTTATACAACAAAATGAATAAAAGAGAAAAATAAATGGAAAAAAGGAAAACACAAACCAGACAAATTGCAACAAATTTTTAACTTCAAACATTTTTTTCAGATTGTAAATGACACATCCATTTAAGCTCAACAAAATGGAATTACACATTTATTTTTTATTTTTGTTATATAACTTGCGCTACTTATCAACACTGGGGTTGACTTAATACATCATATAAATCACATAACGCACGATAAATCATAAAAATAAGAAACTCGCACGAAACTGTTTCCAAATGAAAAAATAAAAAAACATAAAAAATCAAAATGTGTTGAAAAATGCACAGTGCGCAAAAGTTTAGCCAGGCGATAAAGGCAAACACACATAGACAGAGGGATTTTAATTAAATCAAAACAACATACAGCTATAGACGTATATATATATATATCGATATATTTTCTTGTATAGGGGCAAACTAAAAATATCGAAACATCAACGTACATTTTCAAGGTAAACAAAGCATTATGTGAAGAGCAGCATAAATCGTATGTGCGAGCAGATCCAATGGATGCTCTGCTGCCAGCTGTGTAGGGCATATTAATGAAAGAAGACTGCCGCCCTCCACCTCACCCACTCCTCCACCCCTCCCGATTGTCACAATTTTCATGGCACACTGAAAATAGAATGACACCGTTGAGGGATGTTTGAGGCAGGAGGAGGAGGCAAGATCAGAGCACCGGCAAAGTCAACGTCAAAAAGGTGCGATCGTTGTGTGTGTGTGTGTGTAAAACTGGGGGCCCAGTTTGATGCCCATAATGATCATTAAGGCTGCCAAATCTTCAACGCCCCCAAACAAATGTATTATATGCTTCGCTTTACTCTGATGTGGCAGCCACTGGGTGGAGTGCGGTGGTGGGGTGAGATGCTTTTTAATTTGATTTTTACGCAAATGAGTCATCGTTGAATTTTTAGATATTTCGCTTTAGGCGCTTTGTGCGAGTCATTTTCGAGACACAAACAGATGGCATGAGGCAAGCAGCGGACTCTCTGTGCCTTAGTTTATTAATTGTGCCCCACCAACTGACCAGGCAATTGATGTCAGCGGAAATTGCAACAAGCTGACCAAATGCTAAAACTAAAAATTGTTTAGCGAATGTGTCACGATAAATGAATATTTAGTTTATCAGTATGTTCTAAAATATTTGGGGAACCCAGCAAAGAATAATAAAAATCATTTTAGCTCTTATAATTCTAAATAAATATACTAATAAGCAGATTTCTTTTGTAAGTGAATAAAGAAAGTGAATATTTTATAGAGATAGTAATGATTCATAATAGCAAATCAGACACGGGCTCTTCAAGTATCTCAAATAACTGACAAACTATGCAAAAATAATTTGCTTGCCAAAGCGATCCAATAACTTGTTTGTAATATTGGTTTACAAGTGTAAATTCTCTTTCTTTATTGTTTGCAGTTCATTCAACTCAGTGCCGCACAGCTGATCGACAGTTTACAATTAATATTATTTGGGGTAAACATTTCAACTGGCTGCTGCTGTGGACCACAACGATAAGATTTCGCCGGAATTTCGAAATGCAAATTTTCCGCTTAAAAGTGGAGCAAGCAACGCGATAAACAAACCAAAATCCTCAAGTAAATAAAGAAGAGAAACAAGGGAAGGAAGAAGAGTGAGTTTGTCTGGAACAGAGACGAAGACCCACCCAGCGGCTCAGCGGGTCAACTAGACAACTAACTAGAAGCGAACTCTGACACCGACTCCGACTCCAACTCTGACTTCGACTCTTGAGTTGGAAAATGGCACTTTGGATGTGGCTGCAGATAACCCCAACTGTAATTTGAGTAAACAAGACGTCGAGTCGACAACGTCGTCACTCGGCCAACTCTTAGTCTGCCACAACACAATGGCGCACAAATTTTGTATCACTATCAAGCGACAACAACATCCATTCGGTCTCTGGCTTATTGATGGCAAAATCCAGATAAAAGATGCATTAAAAGTAACAAAATACACAATAAATAAACACAAACAAAAGCAAACAAACAAATCAAATCGAATCGACGTTCAATGCTCAATAACAACAACAACAACAACACAAAAAGGGGGTGGTTTGTGGGTGTGTCCATGGTTGAGTTGGCCTGTGCTTTTCAATTAGCCTGCATCAATCAAGGTGGTGGAGAGCAACAATATAATGACAACAAATTATGTCAACAGATAAACATCAGTGGGCTAATTAAAACCCCTTTTGAAGAGCACAGCACGCTGAGATTAAGTCTAATTAAGGCTCACTTATGATATCAAATTTATGAATGCTCATCAAACCAAGCAAAGCTTGAGGCACGTTTTGGCAAAGGAACAACACATGTATACACATCTAACTATCTATCCGGATATTTGCCACACTTGAGGCCAATGCCAAGCAAATTTTATTATTGGCTGCCAAAACGCACATTTCCCAATTATTCCCAGGCACTTTAATCTTCAGCAACTGCTGCTGCTGCTCTCCACCTCCTCCTCCTGCTTCTCCTCCAGCCCCTGCCCATTCTCTGCTCCTACTGCATGATTTGCTTGGTAGACGGCAAAAAATTAGGCTCCCGCCAGTCGGGCTCCAATGGATTTTCGCACAAGTGAGTGCCAAAAGAGACAGAACGAGATATGTAACCATATATATATGAATATATATATGTGCGTATACATATATATATTATATATATATAAATATATATTGAGCTTGGGCGTCTCCCGTTGCTCCACGCTGAGTTTGGCATGCGATTTGCGTAGCCGGTCAGCACTTGAATGCCACATTGCATCCATAAACTAAATGAGAATAAGACGTAAAATGCGAAACACTTTTTACACTCCCAATGACTGACAGAGGATGGGACTAACTGACAAAGCCGTTCATTGATTAACAGCTGCCCCTGCCCCATCCCCTTCGCCTTCTCCACAACCCACAAACCTCCACCCCAAGCAAAACCAGGCGAGAAAATGTGGCGATAACTGCCAATCGACACGCAAAGAGGAAGAGGCTCAGCTCTTCCATAGCATATCAAATCACTTAGGGGAAATGAAGATTTGATTGGGTGCGCTACATTCCAAGCATTCATTGCCAGTTTACGAGTGGATCGCCTTCCAGGCATTGTTAACTTATAAATAAAATAAATAGTTGCTCTATTTAATTAACTTTAAGTAAGAGCGCATCTCGATGGGAAAGTTTGCCAAAACTGTGGCAGTTTAAAATTCAGATAGGGGCTTGGAA